CACGATAAGTGTAGTCACTGTCTGTCACCATACAATGTATGACTATATTCCCTATGCTGTACTTTTAATCTCTGTGCTTTATTTATTTTATAATGGGAAGTTTGTACATCTTAATTGCATTTATCTATTTCACCCATCCCCCCACCCACCTTGCCTCTGGCAACCACCAGTTTGTTCTCTGTATTTAAGTCTGTTTAGGTGTTGTTTGTTTCATTTCTTCATTTGTTTTGGCTCTTAGGTTCCACATGTCTGTAAAATCTTTCTCCGACTTATTTCACTTAGCATAATACCCTCTAGGCCCGCCCATGTTGTCACAAATGGCAAGATCTCATTCTTTTATATGGGTAATATTCCACTGTATATACACACCACATCTTCCTTATCCATTCATCTATTGATGGACATTTGGGTTGCTTCCACATTTTATTGTAAATAATGCTGCTAGAAACATAGGGGTGCATGTATCTTTTTGAATTATTGTTTTTGTTTTCTTCTGGTAAATACCCAATAGTGAAATTATTGGACCATATGACAGTTCTATTTTTAACTTTTTGAGGAAACTCCATACTGTTTCCCACAGCGGCTACATCAGTCTGCATTCCCACCAAGGGTGCACAAAGATCCCCTTTTCTCCTCATCCTCGACAACACTTGTTATTTCTTGTCTTCTTGAGTCTAGCCATTCTGACAGGTGTGAGGCATCTCCCTGATGATGAGTGATGTCAAGCATCTTTTCATGTGTCTGTTGGCCATCTGGATGTCTATTTTTTCTTTTAACGAGGGGAGTATATCCATATATTACTGTGTAAGAGAAACTAAGGGGAGGCGAACTCGTCTGGAGACTTATTTGGCACCATGCTCCATTTGCAAAGTCTTTGAGTAGTTCCCAGCCTTAGACAGTGATCTGAAGGCCAGATTGCTGTCCCCAGTGGACCAGGAGGCAAAGATCTCTCTCTCGGGAGGGAAAGACAGAGGGCCCGAATGGCCAGGTGATGATGTCAGGAAGGCGGCCTCAGGAGGTATTAGACACAAGGTATTAAGCAGGTCGTTCAGCTGCCTCCTGTTGGCACCCCTGGGGGCAGTAGTCAGGTATCTAGGGCCATATCTTGGGTACGGGGAGCCATTGGCCAGGAGAGGTACAAAACTGGAGTTTCTCTGCGACCCATGAACTAGTGACATGAATTTCCATAGTGTGAGTGGGTGAAATGGGCCCTAAGGGAAGGGAAGGCTTTGTGGATTTAGGGAAGGCCAGAGGAGTTGAGAATACCTCTGTCACTAGATAAAGGATGTGACCAGAAGTCAGAAAGGGAATGAATGATTTATTGCTATGTAACAATATTACCACCAACTGAGCGCTTAAAACCACACACACTAACTCATGATTTCTGTGGGTTAGGAGTCGGGGCAAATCTACAGGGTCCTCTGCTTCAGGGGCTCATCTGAAAGCCACATTCTGTGCATCAGCCAGGGCTATGACCTCATCTCAAGGCTCAACTGGAGAAGGATCTTCTTCTGAGACACGAGATTGCTGATAGAATTTAGTTCCTTATGACCTGTTGGACAGAGAGAGGGCTTTAGGTTGTTGCTGGCTGTCAGCTGGGGGCCACCCTCGGTTCCTTGGAAAGGGGGCTTCTTGCTTCATCAACACCGGTAAAGGGGCAAGTCTCCTGTGAAGACGGCTACTACAGCCCTATGTAATGTAATCATGGAAACAATGTCCCATCACCTTTGGGGTCCTCTATTAGAAGCAAATCACCAGTCCCACCCACACTCAAGAGGAGAGGATTTCTCACAAGGGCGTGAGTACCAGAGGGTGGGATTATGGGGGATCATCTGTTCACCACAGGGAAGAAGGCAAGAAAACAGGAAATTGGCCTCACAGTCGAAGACCCCCGGGAAAGACAGGTGACAGAAGACAGTGACAAGGCAGTTAGAAGGGAGAGGTTTAAAAAGCATAAATCTGCCGGGGAAATGGATTTCACGTGAACTCCAGGTCGATAATGGGTAAATCCCATGTTCCAACCTTTTCTAGTTATTATGTTTGTCAGTGAAAATCCAATGAACAGTTATACAAAACCAGTGACCTTACTGGCCCAGGAAGCTGGGCAGGCCACTGAGAGGAACAGATCCATTCTACAGGAGCTGTGGTTCCCTCAGGCCCCAGCCCACCCCGACACTGACTCTCACCCAGGCCAGGAAGAGACTGCTGTCACAATGGGGGCCTCCAAGCAAGGAAGGGAAGTGCATGCCCTCTCATCCCAGAGACACAGACACCACGCAAACCTTGAGAAATTAGTCTACCAGCGATGGGGTTGGACAAGGCACATCCATAAGAGCTTTCAAGCAAAAACCAAACTTGTGATTGGTGCTTTAAATGTGGGAGAGCAGTTCTTCAAAAAGTATTAGGGAAATTCATTTGTATTCATTGTTGAAGGGAGTGTTAAGACACTCCCAGTTCGGAAAGAAATAGTTTATGCGATTCAAGAAAAATGAGTTGTAGAGTTATTTCACCGATTGGATGAGTGGCCCAGGGGACTGATGTGTATGGATGAATCAGCCAGCTCGAGGGCCTGTGAGAATATCTGCACTTTGCACAGAAGTTGCACCTTCCTCATCCTTCATCTGCAGGACTAGGTGGATTGATGAGCCACACCAACAAAAGGGATTTAGGGAGTTCAGATGGATGGTAGGGCAGGGAGAAGGAATGGACCATTAGCCGGTGATTTCTCTGATGTGCAAAGTGCTCATGTTGCTCCCCTGCTTTAGTTATCCTTCATAATCTGACCTCTGTTTCCTTCCCAGCTACTTCTCTGGGCTTGTGCTTGTCCTGCCCTGGAGCACTGGGTGCCAGCCTTGCTGAATTCCCTAGGGAGAAGCAAGCCTCTGGAGTCTGGAGGCTTCCAGTGTAGAGGTGCTGGCTCTGCCCCAGTAAACTCCGGCCTCCTGTGCCTCCTTCAGTGCCTTCTCCCATAAATGAACCCTCCCTCACTGGGTTGTTAGGAGAACGAAGCTGATAGTTCTAGAGCACTCAGAACAGACCAGTGTTAAATACATTTATAAATATGAATTATCCAAAAGGACCATGTTCTCTTTTATCTCCATGCTTTTGTACTTGCTCTTCCCTCCGCCTGGAATGCTTTTGCTTTAGCCCTGCCTGCCTAATGCCCCTTCGTCTCCTACGGTAAGCTTAGAAGTCACTGCCTCTAGAAGCCACAACTGGTAACCCCCATGGAAATGGTTAGCAATGGTCGCCAAGGATTTGTGACCGTTTTCCTTTGGGAAAGCTTCGCTATCCTCTTGCACTTAAGTGTAGCCCTGTGACTTGCTTTGGTCAATTAAATCCGAGGAGAGATTACACACATTTTCCAGGCAGAAGCTTTAAGAGCGAGAGCGTGAGTTGCCGTATCCGCTCCCTACCTCTGGGATCTCTGTGAGCAGGTGTCAAGCTGAAATCTCCACCAGTCCGACAGACGACAAAAAGCAGGGCCCCTGTTGACCACATCCGACATGAAGCATGAGTAAGAAATAAATGTATATTAAGCCACTGATAGGGCACCTGGGTGGCTCAGTCGGTTAAGCGGCTGCCTTCGGCTCAGGTCATGATCCCAGGGTCCTGGGATCGAGTCCCACATCGGGCTCACTGCTCAGCGGGGAGCCTGCTTCTCCCTCTGCCCGTTCCCCTGCTTGTGCTCTCTCTCTGTCTCAAATAAATAAATTTTTAAAAATCTTAAAAAAAGGGGCACCTGGGTGGCTCAGATGGTTAAGCATCTGCCTTCGGCTCAGGTCATGATCTCAGGGTCCTGGGATCGAGTCCCGCATCGGGCTTCCTGCTCCTTGGGAGCCTGCTTCTCCCTCTGCCTCTCTCTCTCTCTCTCTCTCTCTCTCTGTCTCTAATGAATAAATAAATAAAATCTTTAAAAAAAAAAATCTTAAAAAAAAACAACACTGAGATTTGGTTTAGGACTGACATTTGTCCACCTCCCCCAGGCAAATTTAAATGCACTTATTTTAAATCTCTCTTCCCTTAGGATTTGATATTTTCTTCCATCAATTTACCACACCGAACTCTAATTGCTTGTTTAAATGTCTGCCTCTGCCACTAAACTCTAAGTTGCCTGAGAGCAGGGGCTGTGTCTTAAGTAAATTTCTGTATTTAGTGCTTACATAGAGCCCAGCACAAAGCAGGCACTCACAGTGCATTGATTCCAGCATGTTCTAACGAGAATTGGAAGGAGAAAAGGAGTTTGCTTCAAATAAGTGCTTAATGCTCTCAAAAAACTTTTTTTTTCTTTAAAGATTTTATTTATTTATTTGAGACAGAGAGAATGAGAGAGAGCACATGAGAGGGGGGAGGGTCAGAGGGAGAAGCAGACTCCCTGCCGATCAGGGAGCCCGATGCGGGACTCGATCCCGGGACTCCAGGATCATGACCTGAGCCGAAGGCAGTCGCTTAACCAACTGAGCCACCCAGGCGCCCTCAAAAAACTTTTTTACATTCTCCTCTGTTCTGGAAAAATGGAATGTCCTGTTTTGTTTAAGATTTTATTTATTTGTCAGAGAGAGAGAGCACAAGCAGGGGGGACAACAGGCAGACGGAGAAGCAGGCTTCCCGCTGAGTAGGAAGCCCCATGTGGGACTTGATCCCAGGACTCTGGGATCATGACCTGAGCCGAAGGCAGATGCTTAACCAACTGAGCCACCCAGATGTCCTGGAATGTCCTGTTCTTGAAACAGGTAGAGATTGTCCAGGTAGAAGTGCTTAAAGTCAGGACAAAAGTTCAGGTTCAGGGCACCTGGGTGGCTCAGTTGGTTAAGCGACTGCCTTCGGCTCAGGTCATGATCCTGGAGTCCCAGGATGGAGTCCCGCATCAGGCTCCCTGCTCAGTGGGGAGCCTGCTTCTCCCTCTGACCCTCCCCCCTCTCATGCTCTCTCTCTCTCTCTCTCATTCTCTCTCTCAAATAAATAAATAAAATCTTAAAAAAAAAAAAAAAAAAGTTCAGGTTCAGGGAGGTCCCAAGGATCAGCAAAGAGCTCCCAGCATGGAGAGTAGGTTTTATGATTTCGGAGTCCAGCTTGTTCCTTGCTTAGGCTAAATTGGAATGGAACATTTCTTTTTTTTTTTTTTTTTTTTTTTTTTTAAGATTTTTATTTGAGAGAGAGAGCACGCGAGAGCAGGGGGCAGAAGGAGAAGCAGGCTCCCCGCTGCAGGGCTTAATGTGGGGCTCGATCCCAGGACCCCAGGATCATGACCTGAGCTGATGGCAGACGCTCACCGAGCCACCCAGGCGTCCCTGGAATGGAACATTTCTTTTTTTTTTTTTTTTTTTTTTAAGTTTTTTTTTTTTTTTATTCATTCGAGACACAGAGATAGAGAGAGAGAGCATGAGCAGGAGGAGAAGCAGAGGGAGGGAGAGAAGCAGACTCCCCGCTGAGCAGGGAGCCCGATGCGGGGCTCGATTCCAGGACCCTGGGACCATGACCTGAGCCGAAGGCAGACGCTTAACGGCTGAGCCACCCAGGCGCCCCTGGAATGGAACATTTCTGAAAGCCAACAGGGATAGGGTGTCAGTGTTCTTTTGGCATTTTCAATGGAAATAATTACAGGTGACTCATGTGAGTTTTAATCCAGAAGAAAAGATTAAATGGGTATGTGTATATTTGAATTTCAAGTGAATCAGTGCTGCTATGTGGCCCACATGGAGACAGAGGGCCAACCGAAGGTCATTAGTAGGGAGTGTTTTCAGTGGTGCGGAGGGAGGGGATTAAAGCAAACAGGATAATGTTCGTGTTGTGTTAGAAGTCTGAAGCACCATTTGAATAGGTCTGTATTTTATCTTCCATGGTATAATGTTTCCAAATTGCATTAATAGATTTTTTTTAAACTGTGACCGAAGCTCTGTTTTCTGTTTCCTTCCTGAAGCTGTTTCCTTCCAAAATTATGTTTCAAATGGGAAGAGAACAAGAAGAATGTGGGAAACACAGGGTGCGTGGGCACTGGACCTTTTGGATGGAACTGTGCTTTATTGGGAGATTGTTGGGGCCACCTCACAAGGTAGAGTCTGCTGGGAAAAGCCAGATGTGGCTAACTAGGAATATGGCAATTAGCATTACAGGAAGAAGAGTTGTTCTGGAATCCATAAGGATTGGCCCCTCTTATTCTCTGCTTCCCAGGTCTTGAGTCATGATGTAGCAACTGGCTGGTCTCTGTATCTGTCTTCAATAAAGGTTTCATTCATCATGTCACATGAGTTAGGAAAATGTAGGCTAACAAAGTGGGATGACAGTTGAACCTGAAAGTGTGGTCATCAGAGGGATGGAGACCAAAAAAAAGCCAATCCAGGGATGCCTGGGTGGCTCAGTCAGTTAAGTGTCTGCCTTTGGCTCAGGTCATGATCCCAGGGTCCTGGGATGGAGCCCCACATCGGGCACCCTCCTCAGCGTGGAGCCAGCTTCTCCCTCTGCCTGCCGTTCTCCCTTGTTCTCTCTCTCTCTCTCTTTGACAAATAAATAAATAAAATCTTTTTTTTCTTTTTTTTAAAGATTTTATTCATTTACTTGAGAGAGAGCGAGAGAGAGAGCACAGAGGGAGAGGGAGAAGCAGGCTCCCCACTGAGCAGAGACCCCGATCGGTGCGGGACTCGATCCCAGGACCCCGAAATCATGACCCGAGCTGAAGGCAGATGCCCAACCCACTGAGCCACCCAGGCACCCCATAAATAAAATCTTAAAAAAGAAAAAAAAAAAGCCAGTCCAGCGAGTGCCTTTAGGTTGTTGATATCCAAGTATAAAAGCCTTATTATGCAACATCTCTTTGGAATCATCTCAACAAAGAAGACCATCTTATAAGTATTAAATAAATGCAAGATGTAAATAGATACAAATAAATGCAAAACAGCTTACCTGCAAATCTGAGTGCAGGCTGTTTTCTACTACATTATTGCGCTCACCTAATTTTCCCTCTTTTCTACCTCCCATTCCCTTACTATTTTATATAGGGCAAATTGGGGGTCATTGACATTACACTTTAGACAGTCATTTTCAAAATATCAATCTGAACGTTTCTCAGTGATCTCCGACTTGGAACAGGATGCAGTAGTTGATGACACTTTGAGTTGTTCCTGTTTTGGGTAAAAGAGGGTGACTGTGTTTTTGTTTGTATAACGGATGGTTGCATTATATTAGGCAAGAGGATTTTATGGTGGTGGCTAATGTTTGGAAATGCACATATGGAAAAGAAAATGTTTATCTTAGGCATCTGTCTTCTGCATCTTTGTTTTTGATTTTTGTTTTTTTAAAAAGATCTTTCTTTATTTATTTGACAGTGAGAGAGAAAGCACAAGCAGGGGGAGTAGCGGAGGGAGAGGGAGAAGCAGGCTTCCCACTGAGCAGGGAGCCCGACGAAGGACTCGATCCCACAACCCTGGGACCATGACCTGAGCCAAAGGCAGACGCTTAACCAACTGAGCCACCCAGGCAGTCCCTGTCTTCTGCATCTGTGAAACGTCCTTCCTACAGGTGGGGAATTTCTCACGTTTTCAGTCTCATCTCCCCACAGTAGAAAACTGCCAGTTGACTCTTGAGATCCATCTCCACAGCTTCTGCTGTCACGACCCTCCATTTCTGCCGGCACATTACTTCTCAGGCAAAAGATGTCATTTCCAACCTGATTAAATTCTGGCCAATGAGGTATAAATGGAAGTGTTACACTTAAATTCCAGAAAGTTTCCTCAAGAGGAAAAGAGCAACCGCCATTCCTCTTTCTTCCCCCTGCTGTTTGGAATGCAGATGTGGTGGGGATCTAGCAGCCATTTGGGGCCATGAGATGACATAAAGAATGGAGCATAAAGTTAAGCTAGGTCATTAAGTCTACAACGAAACCAAGAAACCAACGTTACCAGCGTTTACCTGGCTACCTCCAGACCTTTTTTTGCATGAGAAATAAACCATTTAAGCCACTGTTATTATTTAGTAATATACAGCAGAACTTAATCCTAATTAATCCAATTGCTTTTCCAGTCCCCTCTTGTGGCTGAGGCACAGGCCTGTGACCCAGGTTCTGTTAATTGTGCACAGTGGTGCAGGATTTCAGTTCTAAAGAAGCAGGCCCTGAGAATTTATTTTCCGGCAAGGATAGGAGTGGAGGAGTCAGGGTTTGGGAGGCAGCCGTGGTGAGACATTGGTATCTGGTGCCACATGTCAGGGGTAAGAGCTCCAGTGTCTGCACCCAGCAATGACTGTGAGGCTTTCTCTAGAACAATCTCACATGTGGTTAGGCACATTTCCCAGCTACCCAGCTTCCAAGGCCAACTCACGAGGGTCCCTCTCAGGGATTCAGTGAGCAACCTGATACCTCTAATAAATTATTTTCCTGTTTCACTCTGAAAAACAAACTGAGGGTTCTAGAGGGGAGGGGGGTGGGAGGATGGGTTAGCCTGGTGGTGGGTATTGAGGAGGGCACATTCTGCATGGAGCACTGGGTGTTGTGCACAAACAATGAATCGTGGAACACTACATCTAAAACTAATGATGTAATGTATGGGGATTAACATAAGAATAAAAAATCCTGTTTCAGCAACAACGAACCCTAAGTGATATGGCACTCCCCTTAGGTTTATCAAAAATAAAGATCTTGTGTTTCATACCTTAGACTCTATCCTATTTGTTTTAAACCACTGGCTGAAACCCAAGGTTTCTCCTGGATTTGACTTTAATTTTTATCCTCGCTTTTCTGGGTGTGGGAGTGACTATAGTTGGCCACCAAAATCCATTCTTTTGTCAAAATTGGGGTCTACCCTCGTGACTAGGCAAAGCCACGCAACTGAACCTCGTGCGTGGAACGTGTGTGGTTGTAATGCATGCAATTTCTGTCTCACTTGCATAATGGGAAGTTGCTTCTTTGGGTCTTCTCTGTTTTCCTTCCATGTTCATGATACAGCTTCAAGGGAGGAGACGACGTACCCTCGGGGATAGCAAGGCCACACAATGGAAGATGCCTGAGTCCCTGGATAATTTCATGGAGCCTGAACAGCCTGGACCATTCCCCATGAAATGTGAAATGAGAATAAATTTCCACATTCTGGAAGCTGCTTGCTTGGGGTCTCTACCAAGAGAGACCAAGTTATCTTTCTCTGCTAACACAATGATAATGGAGAAATACCAGGCAGGGAACTTGTAATTAACAGCATGTGATTACAGATCCATGCCGAGACATCCATGCAGGCAGCTATGTGCTCAGAGTGTGTCTTGTTTTCCCATTCTAGAAGGGGGAGGTATACACTCAATGGAGGATGAGCACCATCATCAGGTGCCAAAGAATCCCGAGTCTTGAGGCCTCTGCTAGATCCCAGCTACAATAAAATAATCTTTTTTGGGGACCTCAGTTTGAAGTATATACATTCTACTACTTCTACCCGCAGACTTTAAAAATGTACTATTTTACCTTTTATGATTTTGACCATGTTTAGAGAATTGCCTTCATTTGCAACTATCTTTGTTATTACATCTTCCCTCTTTTTAAAGGACTGAGTTATTTTGTTCTTTTCTTCGATTATCACCTTTTTCTTCCTTTCTCCTTCCCTCCCTTCTTTTCTTTTTCTCTTCTTTCTTTCTTTTTAAGTAAACTCTACCCCCAACGTGGGGCTCAGACTCATGACCCTGAGATCAAGAGTCACATTCTCTACCGACTGAGCCAGCCAAGTACCTGGATAATCACCTTTTTTATTTCAAATTTAACATTTAAGCTTTCATATAGCTATGCCCTTTTAATTTGAGCTTCTGGATCAGGAGTCGGGGAACTACGGCCAGCTGTATTTATAGAGAAGTTCAGAAAATACAGCCACCTGTTTTTGAATTTTTGTTAGATTACAGCACCACCCATTCATGTCTGTGTTATCCATGGCTGCCTTCACCCTAGGTTGGGGGCGATCATCCAGAGGATATGACTGCTGGTTGGCCCATGAGCTGGGTCCCCAGCAATCAGAAACCTCTCATTCCCTATCCCTGGAAGTTGCATTCCATTGCCTTCCCTGCTCCCAGAAGCAGCCCCAAGAACATAGTCTTCAGATAGTGATGTGATGTTGAGACCATCTGGATGGTACACACGACTGAACCCAGTTAAGGCCTCTATATCAACTGTTTAAAGATTTGGCAGGTGGGCGTGGAGATCTCCTCTTCACATGATAAGTTCCCATGCTTAGTAAACCTGCCACCTACCAAACTGGAATGACCTGCCTCTTCTGTCCTTGCCTGCCCTCCTAGTACAAGAAAGTTCTCAAATTACACCTGGGAAGTTCCAGAGGAGCTTGCAAACTAACAGACTTAGTAGAGGTAACTATGACGGAGACCACATGGCCCACAAAGCCAAAAACCTGTACAATCTAGCCCTTTACAGAAAACATTGGCCAACCCCTGTTCTAGATCTGGATCTATTTTACTCTGATCTAATAGTTTTGTTTTCTCTGCTTATCTTTTAACTTAACGTCACTCCTAATTTCTATTACTTCTTTCCTTTTTATTCTTATCCCTTCTTGTTCTATTGTGATATGTAAGTTGACCACGAGGCAGAGCTGAAATAAGACAAAAGCATGTATTTGGGGTCTCAGAATTTAATTCAGGGAGCACAGATGTGGGTAGCAACGCAAACTGTGTTCCCCTAGGGAACAAAAGCCAGAGGTTTTAAAAGATATTTGTATGGGGGTGCTTGGGTGGCTCAGTCAGTTAAGCATCCGGCTCTTGGTTTCAGCTCAGGTCATGATCTCATAGTGGTGAGACTGAGCCCCGTGTGGTCACAGCTACCATGCTCAGTGGGGAGTCTGCTTCCCCTCTCCCTCCCCCTGGGCCCCTCCGCCCACTTGCATGCGTGTTCACACACACGCACTCTCTCTCTCCCTCTCTCTTTTTTAAATAAATAAATAAATCTTTCAAAAATAAGACATTGTCGGTTAAGCGGCTGCCTTTGGCTCAAGTCATGATCCCAGGATCCTAGGATGGAGCCCCACATCTGGCTCCCTGCTCAGCGGAGAGTCTACTTCTTCTGCCTCTGCCTGCCGCTCCTCCTGCTTGTGCTCTCTCTCTCTCTCTAAATAAAATCCTTAAAAAAAAAGAAGAAGAAGACATTTGTATTTGTTGTTTACAAAGAATTGTAATTGGCGTTGGTGGCAGAAAACTAATCTCGGCTGAATATAATTGGTTTGCTAAGGCCATTACTGAGCAAGGTCTCCTTTTTTTTCTCCCCCCCGCCCCGCCCCCGGCACCAGAGTTTAGGACTTTTAATTTGTCCCAAAGTTGCTAAAGCAAAAATCATGATAAAACATTCTGCTTTCCTTTACGCTCCCCCCAACGCAAAAAAACAAAACCAAAACTATTTGTAGGGAAAAAATGGTTTTATACCTGGGAAGAAACAATATAAATTCAAAACTTACAGATAAGGATTAGCTCTACCACTCATCTCTTTAAAAAGTTTATATGAATATCCAGTCAAAACCAACAGGGTGTCTCCCTTGAAATGTTACCTATACGAATTTCCAAAGAAAGATGCAGGTATTTGGGCAGAGTCCTTGGAATATTTGCAATGTGGCCCAGTTCAAAGTTCATGGTTTCATTAATGAGGATGTGCATAAGGTCCATCTCCTTAATAGCCTCCTGGCTGCTTCTGAAAACCCCTCAACATAAGTGATTACATTTCCTTTCACCATGCACAGTTGTAAGGGCACGGAGGAAGGGTTTCCAAAGCAGGGAGAGCACCCAGGGAAGGGTGACCACTATCAGTGGACTGCCCAAGCCCTGAGAGCCCCCGGACCATGACACAGTACTTACTGTGAGCTTCCAGGAGGCACTCCAGGAATGCTGCGTTAAGGAGGGACCTAGGCACAGAAGGGCCCCCCTCTTTCTGTAGAGACCCCATGCTGAGGCACGGAAGTCTATGAAGTAGATAGAAATAAGCAAGAATCCTTATAATCCTACACGTCCCCTTTCTTGGCATCACACACACAACCCGATCCACCGGGCTGGTTCAACGGACACCAGAAAAGGGAACTTCCATGTCCCCAGATACGCTCAATCCTGAATCCAAAGGCCAGAAGGGAAGAACACAAGCCAGGTCAGGGTGAGTAAGGCTTCACTGGGGATCAGGCAGGGCTGGGCAGGGACCACCCTGGGGGAGCCGGGCCTGCACTCCAGGTCTTACGGGGCTTCGGGGCAGCCCGGGGGAGCTCACGGCAGGGCTCCCCAGGCCAGGAGTCCAGTCCAGCTCCCGCAGGTGGAGCAACCACCCAGGGAAGAATGGTCTGGTTGGCTTTAGTGCAGGACGGATAACGCTGGTGGGGGAGGAAATTTGCTGAAGTAGAGAGCTGACGACAAAGGGCCTGGATGAAGACAGGGTTGGGAGGGAGAAAAGGGCGCCCATAGGTATTTCGTGGGGACAAAGGAATATAACAAAGGACAAAGAAGCAAGACCGCTGTTGGGGGGACACAGCAAGCACAACTCTGGCTCCTCCCCGGCACCCCCACCCACGGAGGCCCTACTTATTGGCCCACACGGCAGTCTTTAGAAACAGAGGCGCTGGGAGGAAGCGGCTGGACTTCATGTACGCAGAGATCTTCTTCAGGCCCTGAGCGGGGAAAGAGAAAGTCCAGCGTCAGGGTTTGCTGCCTCAGTGGGATTCATGCAGCCCCACTGAGGTGCAGCAAGTTCGGGTCGCTGCCTGGTGAGGCCGGTGTTGAGACACAGCACAGTCTCCCTGCGGTCCCTGCTCTGGAAAGTCACCTCCTCCAGCTTCCTGCAACTAATGGGACATCTGACTAAGATATGGAGACTACCCGTACAGGTGCTTTAGATCCCCCAGAGACGATGATACGGGTGTAGAAACCCCACCAACCACCCTACAAGACGGGTCTTCCTCTCACCACCCAGCAGAAGGGAACCAGACACCCAAAGGGCTTCAGCGGCCACCTCGGGCTCCCAGGGCTAGCAGGTGGGAAGGGCTGGAGGGCAACTCATTCTCTTGCCAGGGCTGTGCTCTTCCGGCTGGCCTCCCTCCTCCCCCCGCTCCAGGAGGCCCTGTCCCTCCCTATCTTACAAACATCCCCCTTTGGCAGAGGGAGCATCCTGGCTTCTCAGAGTTTGCCACATAGGGAACCCCAGCAGAACAGGGAGGCTCAGATTGTGGCCATGCAGCTTGCAGGACAGGCCAGACCTCACCCAGTGACTCAGCAAAAGCTGCATGAAGTGAGAGAGGCTGGGAGCACGAAGGCCAGGCCAGGCCAGACTCTAATTACTAAAGGTCCAACTGCTTGGCCCAGTACATGAGCCCAATGTCATGGGCTAAAGTCCAACTGCTTGGCCTGGTACCTGTCCCCCGTGTCATGGGCACCCACTACCTCCTCCCCAGGCCTGCTGTAGCCAAGAGGGCCTAGGCCACTCAGGGGTGTCTGAGTACCATCTTCCCAAGACCCAGAGGGCCCAGTGAGTTCTAAAGGGCTCCAAGTTCCTGGGACTGTCTATACCCAGTGGGCCACACACCGCAGTCCACAGCCATCCTCTGTCCCTCCTGCCAGCCAGTCCCCGGAGCTCTGGCATAAACCCCAAGGCCAGTCACCCAGACCCACAACCAGGGCTGACGAGAACCAGCTCAAAAAGCACATCTCTTGATGCAGAATGGGAAAGAGAAACAGACTGCAGCTTGAAAATCCTGCTGGACAAATGCCTCAAAGCCCCACACCGCTCACAAAGCACAGTCCGCTGGCCTCCAGCGAGGGACTGAGGGTGACCAGTGACATCAGGGGAGGTCTAGGCTGTGCTCCTCCCGCACCCACCTGGCCCCAAACACACCACACGGTGGGGTGTTCCTCTAGTTGTCCAAGCGCTCTGAGCCCCAGGACAGTGGCTCCAGGGCCGGGTCACCCTGGCATCCCCACTGTGCCTGACACAGTGCCTCACACCCGGGAGAAGATCCGATCAGCCAAGAGGACTGAAAATAAATGGACTGCCCCAACTCTGACGCAGAATCTCGGGTAATGGGAAAGAAGAAGGGCAGGGAGACAGGGAGGTAAGGAAGGTGCCCACCACAGGACACCCAGGACAGACTCCTTCCACAGGCGCCCTCACCCATGCACTCACAGCCCAGGACCCAGGACATTCCTGGGGATCTCAGGGCAGGCCCAGGCGGGGATCGGATTGCTGCAAAGCTGCCTGAGTATCCCCAGGAAATGCCGTCTCTGCCCTTCTTACGTAGTCTCATCGCTACCATGGCTCGGCTCTCCTAATGCCAGCGCCACGCACGCTCCTGAACTGCGGCCGCATCCACGGGGTCCTGAGCTGCTCGACCCAGACAAGTAAGGCAACTGAGCTTCCTTCTGGCCCAGGAAAGAGAGAACCATGGCCTGCTGCCTACAGAAGCCAGAGGCTAAGTCAGATCCCAGCACAGACAGTACTGGCTCTGTGAACTTCAGCGAATGACTTATCCCTTCAGACTCAGTTTCCTTACCAGTAAAAATAAGCCGACAATTCTTCTACCATGTAGGAATGTTGTCAAGATTTGATTTGACACAAATATGTAAGATCCTGAGCACAAATCGTGATATAGCAAAACCTCAATAAATGCTACTTATTCTTCATTCTACATACAGGACTAGGAAAGCATCCAGCAAAAGGAGGGAGGACAAAAGAGATATAAATAGTAAGGAGGATAAGGAAATCACCTCAAAGCGGGCCATGAACTCCTTCAGGTTTGGGAATGCATCCAGGCACTTGGGCTCGAATATACGCAGTATATCAAGAATGTCATAAGCCAGGAAATCCACGTAGGTGAGCTAAAGAAAGGCAAAGGAGGAGTGAGCAGGTAACTCTGAACCTGGGGAAAATGACAGTTTCCCACCCCCCAAAGCCTTCCCCTTACCTTCTCCCCTGCAAACCAAGGCCTCTTCCCCAGAAACTGTGAGTAGAGCTTCATCTTGTCAGGGAGTCCCTCCAGGTACCCAGGCTTCAGTTTCTCCTGAGGCACAGAACAGCCATAACCAGCCTCAGGCTCAGACTCCCTGGGCAGAGAGGCAGGTCTCCTCTGGGCAGTGCATGACCCCCAGCTGCCAAGGGGCGAGCAGCCACGTCCCCCCACTGGAGGGGGGGGGTCATTGCCCAGGCGATGATTTATCCAAGCTGTGTTCAGCAGACTCCTACTGGGTCCCACCTCCCATCTGTGAGAGGCTGTGGGAAGGCAGAGAACACCACCTCGCTGTCCCTGAATCTGTCATCACTCATCTCCAAGCCCCCTCCCAGAGCTCAGACCCAGGAGGGCTGTGAGAACCCAGCAGAGCTCTGGACGCAGATGGCAGACAGAAGCAAAGAAGCACACAATGGAAACAGCCTGGGGAAAGAAGTCCTAAGTTCTACCTGGTGGGGGACAGATAGGAGCATCACTTGAGCTTTCCTGGAAAGATGTAGAATTTGAGAGACAGAGCGGAAGGAGAAGGAGGTACAAAGCCCCGTGTCTGTCCCTGTGCTGCCTGCTGGACAGAGTGCTCAGGCCTTGGGGTGTCAGGACGACTGTGCTGAGCAAACAAGGTAAGCATACTGTCCGGGAACTGAATTTCCACCCTGGGGACTGGACTCTACCCTAAGGTTAGAAGGAACTGAGTCAGAGTGTTCATCTGATGCATTGAATTATAATGGCCACGCTGGTGAAAGTATAGGGAGTGGCTTGGAGAATCAGTTGCTCCTTGGGGTTCAAATGACAAACAAGACCCCATGTAGATGGCACACAAGAGTCCAGTCCGCCGTCAAACCCTGTCCATCCCAGCCCCAGGGAGGTGACTCACAAAGTCAGGGTTGTAGCACATCCTGGCAAAGTACAGGCGGGTGTCCATAACTTCATTCTCCAAAATGTCCATGCGACACTTCTCCTCTTCTGTTTCCCCGCCTACAGCCCACACAGCAGAGACTCACCCTCAGCATCCCACCCCAGGCAAGCGCAGGGGGCACGCCACTGTTCCCGTGCATCCCGCCCCCAGCCCCACTCACATAGGTTGTGTTTGCGAGCAATGTAGCGAAGGATGGCGTTGCTCTGGGTGATCTTGTGAGCCCCATCAATTAAGTAGGGCAGCTGTAAGGGCAACAGGGGCAGGTGGGTAGGCCACAGGCCTCCCCCAGCACCCTCGCCCTTGAAGAAGGGCACTCCCAGTGCCTGGCTCATGGTCGGCACTAAAGCAATCCACTGTAAAATGGATGAATGAGCTGGAACATAGAGCATGGAGGACAGGCAGTGACAAGAACTAGGAAGCTGAGAGGCTGAGCAGAAGGCAGCAAATCCTGTAACCTCTGAGCTGGGAAAGCAGGTGGAGTACCCACCACTCTCACTTGCCCCACATCACCCCCACCCCTTGCACCTACATTGGGGAAGTCCAGGTCCAGCTTGAATTTTTCATTTAGCCACTGGCTTCTGTCATAGTTGGGAGCTGTGGTGGAGAAGATGGAGTGAAACACACCTCCTTAGAGCCCACTTTCATTGGGCCTGGGGCGGGGGCAGGGTGGGGAACCCACCATGGATCAGTGGCAAAGCTTCCCAAAAGGTGGATCTGGCATCTGGAACACTAAGTCTCACATTCCAGGTTTGGGGGCAAAGAACGCTTGTAAGACTCTGGAACCTGCATGAGTAAGCTTACAAAACGTTTACCCAAGCCCTAAGGGGAACCCATCCCAATTACTGAAACAGGGGGTCCAGCAACCCCCCTCATGTCCTGCCTGGTAAGGCCAGCTGCACCTGGAAGGAGTTAGGGAGGGGCAGGCCCTGCTCCAGCTGGTGGAGGGCGGCAGAGGGAGCAGCACGTGGCCAGGGCAAGGGTAGCTCGGTACCAGATCAGCAGGAATAGGGCAAAAGTCGGAAAGTGACCGGGATGCCCCTACCGTCCCCCATCGCGAACTTCTTTTCCTCATAGTGTGAGTCTGTGTACTCCAGGAGCAGGCGGATGGCGTGAGCCAGCTGGGAGAGATGCCAAAGGCGGAGGTCAGAAATGGAAGTCCTGAGTTGGTGCCTTTCTCTGCAGCAGGTAACCTCACAGACCCCCAGACACATGCATTGGCACCCACTCGCAATCCTCCGCAACCCCCGCTCCCCCCCCCCCCCACACACTCAGAAACATGCCCACCTGAGAAGGACAGACTGCTGGAAAGGTTTGAACTGCACCCAGCCCTGAGCAGGAACATTCTGGTAGTATTGGTGTCTACCGCGCAGCATTTCCTGCCCCCGTGCGTCTCCTTCCCACCCAGCCTGGCGGCCCCCTCGCTCACCCCGCGGATATCCCAGTAACCCAAGATCATGGCCATGGTCAGCGAGCCTTTCGGTCTTAGAGTAAGGCCTAGGCAGAACTGGGCTCCAAGTTCATCCCCTGTGGGGGCGGGGCCGGGGCGGGGCCTGATTGCGCCCCTAGGCCCCGCCTGTGCCCCGCCTCGGCCAGCTTCCACTACCCGCGGCTCGGAGCGGACGCGAAGCGCCCAAAGACGTGGTCTGTCCCGCAGCCGGGAGCGGGGGAGTTGCAGAAGGGGACGTCCTGGGGGACGGCCTCCTGGCTCCCCGCCAGCCCACGGCTCCCCGCCCGGTGCAGAGTCTGTCTCCCCGTCTGGTTGCTGGCGGGGCGCTCGGAGACGAGCCTGAATCACAGAAAGCGCACACCCTTCTCCCTCCTCTTCTCCCTGGGCATCACTCCGCCTCGCCCCTGCGCTGTCCAGATCCCAGGGACGCGGGGAGCCTCTGGCTGCCCAGTTAAAGCCAAACAGCGGTGTCCCTCCAATCGGGAGTTTAAAGCAGCGCCTGTCCCGGGAAGCCCAGGACTCAGGCCACCCTGAAAGTTCCTCCCAGGACGAGCCTTGGAGAACACATTATCCGTGGGTGGGGACTATCGCCCAGGACAAGGGCCAGAGAAAAGGAACTGTGGCCTCAGTGTTTCCCTCATGGCCTGTGGAGGCCCCAGCCCTTCAGGCACGTGGCTGAGACCTCTTAGCTCAAGTGGAAATCAATGACCGTTAGGACGGGAACTGGGACTCTAAATCCAGAACCAGTCCCAGCAAAGGGCAGGGTTAGGAGGTGCAGTCCCCAGAGATGTCCTGCCAGTCAGCTAGATGTCCCCACGTGGCCAGGACAGTGACAAGGGAGTGTGGCGGTGTCACACACAGAATGTGACTGAAGGGGGAAGGGGGATTCTCTGACTGGCACAGAGGGCAGCCAGAGGGGATGGTCAGCAGGAGGGTGGAGGCCGCCCCACAGGACCACAGACAGGCTCGCCCCTAGCAGAGCCTCAGCTGTCTAGTCCATGCCTTCCAGCCTGACCCTGGCTTCCCACCCACGTGCGCTTTTCTGTAGGTCAGGGAGGCCAAGGTGGCCTCTCAGGTTCTTCTGTGATCTGTGATCTGTGACAACCATGTCCTACCTGCCAACTTTCTTCTTTGAAGGCAGGAGACTACTTCAAACTAGGTGAGTGGGACAGAGCTCGGCCTGTGGCTCATCTCCCTTTGTATAAAGGGTATTGCAAGACTTTGTGGATATGTGAAAACAGAAAAAGGGAGGGTTCTCTGGAATCTTAAAAGAATTTAGGTGAGGGAGGTTTATGCCAGAGAAGCTGGGCTGTACGGATCCAGGCCCCCTGTGTCTTGTAAACATGTTGCTATGCTCTTGATTATCCCTTTGTTGAAAGTCCCAGTTCTACTAGCCATTCATTCAACAAACATTTCAGTACCTCTGTGTGCTGGGCTCTGTGTTTGACTCTGAGAATGCAAAGGTAAAATCCCAGCCCTCAAGAACCCTGTGCTTTAGAATATGTGCCCGGTGGTATCCACCAGCCATGTGTGGGCAACAGAAAGCTTGAGAGGGGGCTGGTGCAACTGACAAACTCAACTCGTCATTTCATTTCATTTTAATGAGTTTAATTTTTTTTTTTTTAAGATTTTTATTTATTTATTTGACAGAGAGAGAGATAGCGAGAGCAGGAACACAAGCCGGGGGAGTGGGAGAGGGAGAAGCAGGCTTCCCGCGGAGCAGGGAGCCCGATGCGGGACTCGATCCCAGGACCCTGGGATCATGATCTGAGCCGAAGGCAGACGCTTAACGACTGAGCCACCCAGGTGCCCGAGTTTAATTTTTAAAACTGATACTCAGTCTGGTTACTGAAAAACTCTTAGGTGTGTTTGGGACACGCTGGGTATGTGAATCCATCTTTTCAACTGTAAATGTTTTGCAATCTAGATACAAGTCAAATATTTCCAGTGAAAATGTAGGTGCAAATTGATATATGCTCTAAGTATAAAATAGACCTCGCATTTCGAAGACTTAAGGGTGGGGGAGGGGGGAAGCTTGTAAAATATTTCATTAATAATTTTTAAATTGATTTACATGTAGAAATTATACTATTTTGGATATATTGGGTTAAATAAAACATATTACTAAAGTTACTTTTTTTTCTCTTTGTACTTGTTAATGTGACTACTAGAACACTTAATTAGACTAGAACACTTAATTAGACATATGGCCAGCATATTTCCACTAGATGGTGTTGGTCTAGATCAACCATCAAGAGCATGAGGAGATCAACAAGGAGCCACCTGGTATGTTGGTGCTGGGAGGGAGCCCTGGGTTGTTGTGGAGACTCTGGGAATAACAGAGATGAGGAGGAACAAGGCTCATAAAATTCAGGTACTTAGAGTTTAACTCCGGGCTACTGGGCCCTGGGAAAATATGGATTCTTTACGGAGCATAAAAAGAGGACATAGCACATCGACCCTAAGATGCACTGTCCCCCCACATTCTAACACTAACATCATCAAATCAAGTGACTTCAGAATCAGGATGTCTTACAATCCACAGTGCATTGTAGTTACATGGTAGGGTTTTTTACATTTCTTATTTGTCCATAAAATAATCGCTCACCTTGCAACTGATGGAAAAGTCAGTATGCTTTTGTCCTCTGAGACGGCTTTTCTGTCACAGTCTGTTTCTCAGAGCAGACTTGTTGCACATTAAGATTTTGTTATGCAAAGTGTATGGAAGGTCTAGAAGAACGCTCCAGCACAGCCACAGGGCAACCCTGGCTTCCATGAGCCACAGGGCCACCGTGGTCTCAGGGACACCGATCCAAGGTAGTGACAGTAGGCTGTGTCACATGTACCATCAGGGAGGGGTCTCTGCCCCATCCCTTGCCCATACCTGGTGGCTGCTTGCTCAATCCCTTCACACTGAATAAAGGAGACTTCCTTCCCCCTGGAAAATAAGGATTCTGCTACCTACCATATTTCACAAGGTGGCTATTCAGATCAAGTGACAGATCTACAAGCCCTAAAGAGTCATACCTGATTACACCATAAACGAAGACAGAAAGCTGCTGTTTAGATGGATTAGGCTAAGAACAAGAAGATGGAAACTATATCAGAGAGACACGGACAATCCCTGGCTGTCTCTTTAGGCATGTGCCCTGGGTGGGTTGCTTAACTCTTATTAAAAAAAAAAAATCATCAGCCTTTCCCCAGCTCTGGTGACTTCGAAGCAGTAACTTTTCAGCTTTTCTGCATGTTAGAATCATCTGGAGAACTTTTTCAACCACCGATGGCCGAAGCCTGTCACAGACTAATGACATCGGAGCCCGAAGCGCACGGTGGCCTCTGTAGTTTCAAAAGCTCGCCAGGTGAGTCCCTTGTGTGCCAGGTTGACGCAGCAGATGCCTCCTCCTAGCCGCGCTCCGGGATTCAGTCAGAAGTTGTGAATCTAAACTCGACACTCCATGCAAACGCTCAGCAAATGCTCAGCTGCAAGGAATGATATTCCTGATATTATTTATTTCTGCAGTCTCTTCATTCCTTTAGATACCCAAAGTTGTAACCTTGGGTTAAAACAGCCTTTCAGAAAGAGCGTCTTTAGACCACAGTTAAAAAAAAAAAAAAATTGTGATAACACAACCCTTCAGAGGATGACTTTAACAGAGAAGAGCTCCAGCATTTTGACACCTGCCTGCTGTGTTGGGAGACCCTGGGGAAAATCCCTTTTATGGGACTTGAGCCTTGAGCCTCTCTGACATCTCTCCAAACCGAGCCGGCAGAAGGGATGAAGAGCCCCGGGCTACCGTTGATTGCTCTTACAAAAGGTACTCCAATACCTGTGCGTCCCTTCCCAGATTATTTATTATAGATCTCTGACAAAGAAAGACCTTCAAGTGTTTTAAGTCCCCCTTGCTTTTCTTGGGTTCCCATCAGAGAAGCTGGAGAAAGCTGTAGCTCTGGGGCCAGGAAGAAGGGAGGGAATCTTGACTGGCTGTCACCTGCAGGTGACACAGAGCCTGTCCTGAGGAAAGCACTAGGTCCTCCGCCTCAGCCAGCACCCCACGGGGTTCCAGGTAACCGGAAACAGGTAACGAGCCTTCTTCAAAACACCGCACGCGTGGATGGATGGAGCCAGCCCGGGATCATCCACGCGCCAGAAGTAGGGCTCCTTCAGGAGAGGGCGGGTCAGCAGGGCAGAGAGGGCAGTGAAGGGGAGCGGGGGGCAGAGCACTTTGTGGCAGGGAGCCCTGTGATGTTTACAGCCTGGCCCAGGAAGAGGGGCAGTCCTTATTGTGGCGGATCCTAAAACACTTCCTTAGAAGGATGTTGCAAAAGATAGTCCCTTGAAACCTGTCACTGGGTTTTCCGTTGTGGATAATATGTGTGGTATTCATTACATTTAATGGGATCTTGTAGGAAACATTCTTCTAAGGGGTCATTCCTGGAAGAGGGTGGCTTTCCCTGAGCCACTGGTTTGTTTTTTTATTTTTATTTTTTATAGGCCCAGAATTGCCTTACAAATTGTACTTCACTCTCACCTTGAGTTCTAGGCAAGTCACAGCCAAATTCTGTCATCTGGAAAGAATACAGGATCTCATGATGTTCACTCTGTGTGAATCTGGCCTCTGACTCAGTGCTGTTTCTTGTCTTTTTATTTCATTTTTCCCTCTAATTAACTCACTTTCTACAATTTTGTATATCTTTTTATAAGACTCTTGGGGATGGGATGCCTGGGTGGCTCAGTTGGTTAAGCGGCTGTCTTCGGCCCGGGTCATGATCCCAGGGTCCTGGGATCAAGTCCCACATCAGGCTCTTTGCTCAGCAGGGAGCCTGCTTCTCCCTCTCTCTCCCTCTGCTTGTGCTCTCTCTGTCAAATAAATAAAAATCTTTAAAAAAAAAAAAAAAGACTCTTGGGGGAAAAAAAAAGAGAGAGAGAGACCAGAGTAGGCGAGAGACAGTCATGGGCATCTGAGAAGTACAATTATTGTAAAAGAAAGCAACAACCTGAACAGCATTCACCGTCAGGCACAGCATTGCTTTAATATCTGGGCCGAGAATTTTAAATGACCGTGATGGACACTGTCACTGCCCTCCAACCAAAGACCA